CACATCTGGCCAGAATTTAAATTAAAACATGGTGCTTCCATTAGCACTGCACACTAAAACAGAGAAAATCAGAAGTGGCAAGAAGCTAGTGCCCCTCCCTTTTGGTTAGTACCTGAACCACATTCCTCTTTTTCCTTTTCCCAAAATCACAAAGAGGCAGGCCTATTCAAACAGAAACGGCCCGTCCTGTGGGCTTGTGACTCAGTGAGTTGAAGGTTCTGAGTCCCACTCAGGCCCCCTTCCTGTCTGTCCTGCCATAGCCCACTGGCTTCAGGCCTAGGACTGTGCTCTGGCAGAAGTGGGTTTTTCACCAGGGAGTAGCTGTCCTCCAGATTATATTCTGGACACTGGGGGTGGGGGTGGAGAGGGGCTGGGTGATCAATGCCACAGTATGAAGTCACTAGGGGTAGATCTTGGGCAGAGCTCCCGGCAGTTTCTTGGAAACCTCCACAGTTTACTTTCCTCCTGATCCCACTGAGGAGCTGAGGTCAGCCAATGGTATTTTGGGCTCTCAGAATGTCCTAAATTATAGACCCTTCATTTCTTCCTTCTATTTTTGTCTGCATGCTTATTTCACAGGGGGGCTCCACTGGGCTGCACTGTGGAATGTGGGCTCTACACTGCAAGGTGTTGTCTTTTGCTTTGGTTGGTTTTGTTGTTTTGTGTTTCTGTAACTATGGGTTGAACCCAGGCAAGTGGTTCAATCTTTTTTTTTGTCAGTCTTGGGGCTTGAACTCTTGGCTTGGGCACTGTCTGTGCACTTTTCAGCTCAAGGCTAGCGATTTACCACTTGAACCACAGCGCCATTTCTGGTTTTCTGGTGGTTAATTGAAGAGTCTCATGGGGACTTTCCTGCTCAGGCTGGCTTTGAACCATATCCTGAGTAGCTAGGATTACAAGTATGAGCCACTGGCAGCTGGCTGTGGTTCAATCTTTGAACTATATCCTCAACCATTTTTATTTTTTGAGACAGGTTCTCAATAATTTGCCCGAGCTGGTTTTCAACTTGGATCCTCCTGTCTTAGCCTCCTGAGAAGCAGGAGCCAAATGCCACTGCACTGGCTCACACCACAAGTTGTATCAAGAAATCAGTGATGTGTGAACAGAAAATATCATTGTATGCTGAACACCTTCTGCAATCGAAAAACTGATTTATCATCAATATAACTGAATGATTGCCAATTACAACTTCTTTGGAAGAAGAGAGCTTTTCCTTGAAACACAAAGTCCTTTGCTAAACTATAATGGTGATTTTTTTTTCTTTGTAGGTCATGGGGCTTGAACTTGGGGCCTGGGCACTGTTCCTGAGCTCTTTTCCTCAAAGCTAGTACTCTACTTGAGCCACAGCTCCACTTTCAGTTTTCTGGTGGCAAATTGGAGATAAGAATCTCATCGACTTTCCTGGCTGGGCTGGCTTTGAACTACAATCCTCAGATCTCAGCCTTCTGAGTAGCTAGGACTATAGGCATTGAGCCACCAGTGCCCAACTGGTGATTTCTTCTTTTTTTTTTTTTTTCAGTGATGGGGCTTGCACTCTGGGCTTGGACACTTCCCTGCGCTCTTCAGCTCAAGATGAACGCTCTACCACTTGAGCCACAGCACCACTTCTGGTTTTCTGGTGGTTTATTGGAGATAAGAGTCTCACTGACATTCCTGCCTGGGCTGGCTTTGAACTGCAATCCTAAGATCTCAGCTTCCTGGGTAGCTAGGATTATAGGCGTGAACCACCAGAGCCTGGCTGATTTTTTTTTCTTAATGGCCTCATTAAACAAACAAACAAAAAAAATGGGCTAATAAAGGAGGATGAAGAGGATGAATACAATTGAATTAGATTGTTGTGCAACTATGAAAACAAAACAATGAAAACCTGTGGGAATTGTTTTGAGGAGGGAGATGATAAGAAGGGGTGAGATTGATTGGAAGATATTGTAAATGTGTGGAAATGTAAACGGGAAATCCCCCTCTGTATACCTATAATGTAAGCTAATATAAATCAATCAGTAAAATTTAAAAAGCCAGGCTCTGTTTGGTATTTCATGTCAGTAATCCCAAACCAGCAAAACCCTACATGATGAACTAAAACTGTAAGGATTGGAGTGTGGCTCAAGTGATACAGTGCTTGTCTAGCAAATCTAAGGCCCTGAATTTAATCAGTACAAAACAAAAAGAAAACACAGTATCAAACAAAAAGAGAAGACCTATGTCAGTCCCCCAAATTATTTGGAAATTCGGTCAGGAATTGCCAGAAAATCCCAGCAGCTGGGATCCATTGGCATAGCTTGCTGTTAAGATGAAGTAGACCTCTGGAGAGAGGCTCACTTCCATTTCCTGCCTCCCACAGAACCATGTGACTTGCAGTTGTTGCACCTTGATGGATTTCCAGCTCCCTATCCCAAATACAGGCAGTCTGCTTCTGGCCCCTCTTTCCATAGGAACATCCGAAGGATGAAAGGGCAGGCACTACAGAGCTAGGAGAAAGCAGGAGCTCTGTAAATATATTTGCTTACTGTTCCTAAGGACAGCTGGTGTGCTTTTGATGGGAAGTACTGAATGATCCTTCAGAGACCTGGGGTAATTTCTCTGCCAGGACACCTGGGGAAAACAACCAGCTCCACTCATAAAATGTGCAAACTGTCCCTTGATGAGTGGAGTCAGAAGGCAGAGGCAATGGGCGGAGATCCAGGAGGCGACCAGAACTTGGGGACATACCCAGGAACCTACTGCAGGTCACGAAGCCTTTCCTCCCCTAGATTTTTCCATGCCTAAGAAGTGCAGATGTTTGCTCTGTGGGCTTCACAGGGTAGTAAGGAGCCAGCTGCTACTTCAAGTCCTTTAAAAAACAAAATGTGATTCCTTGTTTTAAGGCTTTAACTTTAAAATCCTTTCCCTAGGATTGCATCCCAAATCAAATTTTGGGGGTACTCTGGCTGCAGGTTAAGAGATACACAGGAAAATGAAAACATAAATCATGTTACTGTGAGCTTAAAGGAGGTAGACCCAAACTTTAACCAAAATAGACCTGAGTACAATGAACCCCACACTGAAAACACGGCTCAGGAAACTTCCATGTTGGCTCCCTCCCCTCTGCACATAGCTGACAATTAACTGCAGAGATAAGTCCTTTGATCTTTAGAAACCCAAGGCACCAGGCTGCCCAGGGTTAGTGAGCAACAAGGCCTCTGTTTGAACTTGCCTAGTATCAGCCCTGTTGTGAGCTAACGGGAGTTCTGACTTCAGTCAAATCTGGCATGCTCTGTTCCCGTGAAGCTGCAGTTAAAAATGCCACCGAAACAAGCTGGCAGCTTACGAAACATTTTCAGGAACCTTCAAGTGGAATGACACCTCACTTGAAAGCCATTGTCCTGCAATGTGTTCTCATTGGAACTGACCAGAGGCTGGAGACAAGAGTGGAAAGGGGCACCGAGGCAGCTGAAAATCCCTCTCCCGGCTTGGCAGCGGAGCCAAAGCTCCATCTGCTCCTGCTTTCATCTTCCCACACTCTCCTGTCAAGCCTTACCATGCCCAGACCCCTTCCTTCCACCTGCATTACTGGACAGTGATTTGGTTTCCTGTCTCCCTTCATTAAACATGGGGCCCACTAGAGTGTAACTGCTAGTCCTGCTTAACTTGGAAGCCCCAGACTGCTTAGTGTGACACCCAAAAGGAAAGACAAGTTAGATGAATAGATGGGAGCGTGAGTGAAAATGCCAAAACAGGGTTTCCCAGCCCACTGCTGGAAGGGGCAGACTTGTTCCATGAGCCAGCCACTTCTCTGCAACCAAGTGAGAGCCACCCTGACCCAATGAAACTCACTGGGTTCTGCCAGCTAGCTGGGAATGGCAGGGGGACAAGTCTGATAGGCAGAAAGTTGTCTTCTTAAACCAGCGGGTCCAGATGATGCTTGCCTTGCAGGCCCCTAGTCCTGCTGAAATCCTCTACCTAACCAACCCACAGAATGCATGCCACTCGAGCAGAGAAGCCACTAACTGATGAAGCCTTCAGGATGAAAAAGAGGGGAGAGGGGTGGAGAAAGGAATTTCAGCCAAATGTACTGCAACTTCTCAAGAGGGAGTTCAAAATGAAAGGGGGCCTTTGGGGTCAGAGCTAAGGAAATATGCAGCCCTAGGGAAGGAGAAGAGTGCAAGTGGGGCAGGGCTTGAAAGGCTGGGTGGGGGTGCAAGGCAGCACTCAGGAAGGAGGCCGGGCTCCCATCTGGAGAGCCAAGGGGCTGCGGCTGCCGAACAGATGGAGGCCAAGTTGCAGCTGGTAGAAACGCACTTTCATGTGTAAAGTTTGGTCCTCGGAGGATTGCGATTTCCAACTCTGAAGGCAGCAGTGGGCAGGTGGCTCCACTCCATGCTCCGCCTTCTCCCCCATTACCACCCAAAAACCCGACAGCGGCTCAGTGCCAGGACTCAGCCACCATGCCTTCCGCCAGCCTCCTTTCAACAGGCAGAAGCTGGCATGGTGACACCTTGGCAAAGCTAAGGATGGCAGAGCACTGCAGTGCTTTAGCAGGGGAATAAAAGGGATTAATCCAGCCTCCCTGGAGGGGACCAGGTGGACTGAGAACAGACGGAAGAGATGGAGGGGGGAGAACAAGTATATTCGTAGACCTTGCAAAGCTGCTCACAGGACACATGCAGGGTCTCGGTAGAGTTCTGGCGGAGGGGTGACAGTGAGAACAAGCAAAAACTCAGCTGACCCTGAGGCTCTAGACTTATTTCATCCCGACCTTACGGCAGTTCTTAAGAAGAGAACAGAGTTCTCAGGTTTTTCATGACATGTTTGCCCGCCCAAGCTCTGGAGAAGTGATTTTTCCATCCTCTGGCTGTAATAGCCAGCAGCCACCTGTCTTAGCACATTTAGAGAGCTGGCCCAGGGGAACAGAGGCTGCTGGCACAACCAGTCTCTCAGAGCCCATCTTGGTCATGCACAGGCTAGTGGGGAATTACCCGACCAACCATGCTAACCACAGAGCAGCAGCGTGGGGTGCAAGCTTCAAGCTCTGCCTCTTCCTCTCTTTATTTGCTTTAGATTGTACTCCAGGTCATCAGGAACAGAAACTTCCCACGTTAAAATCCAGATGCCCCTCCCTCTTTTTCTCTTCCTTTTCTTTTCTTTTTTCATAATATATGATTTTGTGGCTTTTCTTTTTCTTTTTTTTAAAGACAGAACCCAGTCCCTTATCATTACTAAAGTCCATTCTCCCAAGAGATGTCACTACTGGAGAGAGCAACCAAAGTGTTCTTGGAGTGAAGGTAGTCTCTCTCTTGCTAGTGGGATGTCTTCTTTGCTCCTTTCCCAAACTTGGCATCAAGACCCAAACCTACAGAAAGCAGAAAATGAGCTCAGTTTTATTGGAGGGGAAACCCAATGATTTGAAGGAGTCAATTTTAGTTCTTCAAAACTGGGAAGTAGCTCAGTGGTAGAGTACTTGCCTTACATGAGGCCTTGGGTTCAATACCTCAGCACCACATAAGCAGAAAAAGCCAGAAGTGGCACTGTGGCTCAAATGGTAGAGCACTGGCCTCGAGCTGAAGAGCTAAGGGACAACACCCAAGCCCACAGTTCAAGCCCCACAACTGACCAAAAAACCCCACAAACTGGGGCTTTAAATAAAACTCACAACACTGATTTTATATGACCTTCTCAGAGATAACAGATTATGAAATGAAAAAAAAATCCGCCAAGATACTGGTAAATACACACACACACACACACACACACACACACACACACACACGTACGCATGCACGCGCGTATGCATGCACGCACACACGCACGCATACAGAGACTTAAGTGTCTGGCTGGAGGCATGGTTCAATGGTAGAGTACCTTTCCAGCACTGTGAGACTGGAGTTTAAACCTCAGTACTGCAAAAGAAACACAATCTTTCTCTCTCTCCCTCCCTCCCTCCCTCCCTCTCAAGCTATTTTTCTCAGCTCATCCATAGCACCATGAGTCAGTAAGGAATAAGCACCTGTCCTGTACAGGATCTGGGGAAGGCCACATTACCCAAAAAAAAAAAAAAAAAAGCTTTCTTTTTAGCACACACCTGTAATTCTAATTTGGCAGGAAGCAGAGATAGGAGGCTACCCTGGTCAAAAAAACAAATAGGGTATAGTGGAATATGCCTGGAATCCTGGTAGATGGGAGACAGAAGTAAGACGGTGGCCTAAGGCCAGCCCCAAACAAAAAGCCAGGGGCTCTAACTGGAAAAGTAAAGCAAAAAATGCTAGAAGCATGGTGCAATGTTTGTCTACCAAACAAAAGCCTCAAGCTCAAACCCGAGTAAAAAATTTCCCTCTCTGGGTGTGGTGTATACACCTGGTCAGCACTCAGGAGACTAAAGCAGGAGGGTTTTGAGTTTGAGGCCAGTCTGACCTTTACTGTGAATCCCTGTCTCTTAAAAAAAAAAAAAAAAAGTGGGGGAGGGAGTGAGTTCTCTAAAACAACTAAGTAAATCTCAAATACACAAGTAAATGTTGGGGAAATACCATACTAAAGCTCAGCCACTATTCTTTTGTGGCATAAGGAAGCATCTGCTCTGGGTAGAACTTACCTAAGAACACAAGTATAGTGCCCACCCACTGCATGGAGCTGATGGGGTTGGCGAAGAGGATCACAGAGGCCAAAATTGTGAAGAACTTCCGAGTTGTGGTGATGATAGAGCAAGTCAGGGGACCAAAATAAACAACTGTCATGAAGATGAAACTCTAGAGGGTGAAAGAAAGGTGGATCAGGCTGGTTATTGGGTGTCTTCTATGAAACTTAAAGACAGATAGATACCAGGAGCTAGGTGCAATGACTCATGCCTATAACCCCAGCTGTTTAGACAGCAGAGATCAGGTTCAAAGCTAGCCCAGGGAAAAACGTTAGCAAGACCTCATTTCAACAAATCAGGTATACCGGGGCTAGGAAGGTGGCTCAGTGGTAGAGCGCTTGCCTTGCATGCCTGAGGCCCTGGGTTCGATTCCTCAGCACCACATAAGCAAAAAGAAAAAAGCCAGAAGTGACGCTGTGGCTCAAGTGGTAGAGTGCTAGCCTTGAGCTGAAGAGCTGAGGGACAGCGCCCAGGCCCAGAGTTCAGGCCCCACGACCGGACCCAAAAAAAAAAAAAAAAAAAAAAATCAGGTATAGTGGTCACAACTATAATTGTAGTTACCAGGAGGCATAGGTAGAAGGGCAAAGAATGGAGGTTCTACCTAAAAATAACTAAAACAAAAAGGGCTAGAGGCATACTGTAAGTGGCAAAGTGCTTACCCAGCAAGATCAAGGCCCAGCATGAGGCTGTTGAACCCAAATACCAGTACTGCCTTAGCCCCCCCCCCCAATGCAACCTTTTTAGGAAACCAATGCTACAAAAGGGAAGTCAAATTGTCCTGTCTTTAAGAGGGCTGGGAATGTGGCTTAGTGGTAGACTGCTTGCTAACATGCATGAAGCTCTGGGTTTGATTCCTTAGTACCACATACAGAGAAAAAGCAGGAAATGATGCTGTGGCTCAAGCCTTGAGCAAAAGAAGCTCAAAGGACAGTGCCCATGCCCCAGGACGGGCAAAAAAAAAAAAACCAAACACTAAACAAGGGGGCTGGGAAGGTGGCTCAGTGGTAGAGTGCTTGCCTTGCATGCATGAGACCCTGGGTTCGATTTCTCAGCACCACATAAACAGAAAAAGCCAGAAGTGGTGCTGTGGCTCAAGTGGTAGAGCGCTAGCCTTGAGCTGAAGAGCTGAGGGACAGCACCCAGGCCCAGAGTTCAGGCCCCATGACCAAAAAAAAAAACTAACCAAGGAACTCACCTGACCCAGGGCACTGGTCAAGCCAAAGAGCACGATGTTATAGATGACAACTGGGTACTTTTCAGCAAAGCTCAAGAACTCCCAGAGCTCCCCAGTGAACAGGATTCCTACAGAGAAATGTCAAAAGGAGAATGGTACATCTTGTATGGCATACACGCATGCTTATACACCGTCTACTGAAGTACCCAAAGGAGATGGGGAGCAGAAGTATATGGAGTGAGTTTGTACTGTTCCATCATGCCTCTCAAGTTTCTCCCTTTTTATTTGATTAGAGAAACTAAAGACTTGATTTTCACAAGAAAGGCGAGTTAATAATTTACTTCAAACAAAGTGATTGCAAGCAGAGATCCTCAGCTACTGCAGGGACAGTAAGCGGCAAATCTCTAGCTCAAAGAAGTTCCTAACACAGGTCACCTCCAGAAGCTCCTCCAATGACCCCAGAGTGCTGCCCAAAATGCTCTCTACAAGTACCCAGACTTGAACAATTAGGGAACCTTGGTTTCAAAGTAAACACATTCATGACAAACTCTCTTCTATGTGTATCTAAGTTTGTTTCCTGTGAGCACTACACCAATACTCATTTGCCTCTTGAAAGGGAAAGCTCCCAGATACTCCATGTATTTTACCTGGCACAGATCTACCCCTACTGTGTTAGGTAACAGATAGCAACAGACCCTGCTAGTGCAGGTTTTTGGGGTTTTGGACAAAAGGGCATCTCGAACCAAGTCTGGTCTAAGCCTGTGCATCTGAGCCAGGGATGACTATATGAGAGAAGTCTGCCCTCTGGTGCTAGGTGGGAAGAACAGCAGAACTGCTCCTTACCACCTCCCAGTAGCAATGTCGACCAAAGGTTAATGTTCAACATCATGTGGTTGGAGCCTGTTTGGTAATGAGCTCGCATGTGGTCCTGGGAAACACCTGTCAGTCCATCCAGGGTCAAAGACAAGAGCTGGGAAAGAAAAAGGAACAGTCTACAGTGAGCTGACCATCAGAGTCCCTCCCAAACCCAGGACACAGGATTATAATCCTCAGGTTCCTCAAAATGCAGAGTTCACAGGCCAAACAGGAAGACATGCTATCTGTCCTTCTCCAACAGAATTGAGAGGCTGAGCCACATCATCGTACTGAATTCAGGAAGCCAACCACCTCCAAATAGAATGCCTTGAAACTGCTGTACATGAGACTGAAATAGGCTGTGTGAGCCACCCCCTTCTTTTGCTAAAGCTAGAAAGAAAATCTAGTCCCAGCAGGTTAGCGTTTTAGCTTGGAGTATAGTGACCCAGAGAATGAATTCTGTAGGCAGACTGCCTGGATTGGAATGATGACTCTGCTCCTTAAATAGCGTGTGATAAAGGGCAAGGGACTTAATCTCTCTGACCTTAATCTGTAAGATGTAGACTGCTGTAAAAAAATTCAATCAATTAACTTGTGAAACACTTGGAACAGTGCCTAATACACAATGACCCCTGCTGTATTATTTCCAACTCTGCTTCCATGTTCTTTAGAAACCCAGTTGAGAGAGATACTAATCCTCCTCAGCTCTCAAGTCTCTATGACTTAACACAAGGATCTGGACACAGGCCTCTGAATTCTCTTCACTAGGGGAGCTTGCCTATAGATAAATATTTCAGGCTTCCCATCAGAAAGGAAGTGCAAGCAGTACGACACCCTCTCCTGAGAAACACTGGTCTTCTGGCTGCCTTGGTGGGTCTGTCCTTTGGTTGACTTTGCCAGAAAAGGTTTCCCTCTTAGCAAGACCACATACCAGGAGCAGCTCTCCATAGCCAATTGTATGTTCTTCCATTCCAACTACTTTCTTGGGTTTGTACATGAAAAGGGCCACTCCAGCCACAATTAGCAACACACATAGGTACTTGGCCAATGGGTACTTCTTCTTCAAAAGAGTCACCCCGAGGAGCATGACTACAGTGGAAAAAATAGTGAGAAAAATTCAGGCATCCACAAGCATCAATGACCCCAACACCCTTCTCCTAGGAGCCAAGAAAGCCTCAAGGAGAAAAGAATGTCTGGGAAGGAAGATCTATAGAGAATAAAAGTAGGGGTGAAACATGTTGGCATCTAGATAAAGATGATTGAGCAATATTGCTGAGTAGAGTATAAGGTGGGGAAAAGGTAGAGAGCAAAGGTGAAAGGTCCAAGAAGGAATAAAGTAGAGATGGGGAACAGTAAAGAAAGGGGAGCGGTTGAGAGAAACAGATAGCCAAATTGAGATGACAATGTAAACCCACAGAATACAAAAATGAGTGAACATGTGAGGCAAAGTAGGTCTGCCTCTAGCTTCTACTGAGAATTACCAGCTTATGCACATCACGGAAGTCACACAGATGACAAGACAGGCAAGGAGAAGGCCTGGAGGAAAAGTCCCTGGAAAGGCCTATAATGGGATTTTGAAACAAAGAGGGACAGAGAACTCTAGCAGAGGAAGAAAAAGGACAGAAGATGGAGACCATCTTCTTCTGCTTACCTGGGATTGGCTTGCAGGATTTACCAAGGACCTGAAATTAAATTCAGCAAATAATTTCTGAGCATCTACGATGTGCCAGGAACTGTACTAGGTGCAACAATAAGATGAATGTCAGGCCAGCACCAGGAACCTCAGCCTCACAAAGCAGCCCTATCATGACCCAACCCACCACTAAACTTCAGCTGTTTATACACTGAATTCATCAAACACACTCTCTCAGGACTCTTTTATTTAGGTCATCACACACCTGAGGAAAGACTCCTTAGATAATTTCAAAACAATTTCTGAGCCAACCCTCAGCCCACCCTGAGGTTTCACCTGAGTTGGGTAGTTGACAAACTGTAGTGCTGAGTTGCTGGAGACCATGGCACCCAGATAGGAGACAGAACAGGCGGCATAGAGCCAGCTCCGAGTACGATCCACCCTGGCAGTGTCAAAAAACTGGATCACTGGGAGAAGACAAAAAAACAAAAAAACATACAAGAGAAACCTAGTGGGGCTAGGATGGACCACTAAGCAAAAGTTGAGGCCACATGAAAAGAACCTATCTGTCAAATAAGACATAAGCTATTTCTGTCCTCTTAGACTGGGAAATCTGTGAAAATTATTCAACTCTCCAATTCCATTTAAGCCTGACACGTGATCACATGCAGGGTGCATGTAGGGATTTCATTCAGTTCAAGAGAGGACTTATCTCTGCTGGTTGACTATAGGGAACAAAGAAAGCTCAAAACATGTTTGAAGCTGACACATAAAGGAAAGTCAAAGGAAAAATTTTTAAGTATTCTCAATAGAAATTTGGAAGCAAAGACCAATTCTCTGAACATCTGTGACTCAGAAGTTGGTCTAATTTGTGGGTATAATATTTTAATCTCACTTCACATTAGACTTGTAGACTACACAGAGTCTATATGAGGGTCAGGGAAAGTTAGACCTCAGAGTGGAATCAATCAATGCTTAATACCCAGAATGGGGGAGGGGAGTTCCCCAACAAAATATTATCTAAGTACTCACAGATCTTGGCAAACATAGCATTGATCACACACTGGATGAAGACCAAAGTTAAGGCAAAGGTGAACGTCTCCTGTTTGGCTCCCTCTCCATACTTTCCTCTTGTTCTACGATGAAGTGCATAACAGAGCAGAGAAATGAGTATATTTCACTTACTGTCATCTAGAATGCCTACAGCCACTGAAAGCTTTGAATTATCTTGTCTCTGGAGGTAGAGCAAGAGTTTGTAAGGGATATTAAGCTCATTTACAAAAGGAGTTGATGTAATTGGATCTAGATACTAATTACCCTAATGACTCCCCATCTTCCCCCTCAGAAAAAGAATCCGTAGAGGATGGAATTAGCGGAAACAAGGAAAATCAAGCAGTGGACCCAAGTACCCCAGGAAGAAGGTATCCAAGCTAGGAAACAAGGCTGAAGGCAAAACAGGCTGCCCACAAACACCTGGGGGTTCCAAAACACTTGGCTCGGGTCGTGGAAATCTGCTAGAGAATTAGAAGTCCCAGGTTCTTGGACTCAACCATGGTAAAAAAAAAAAAAAAAAAAAAAACCATGTAAAGGAAGAAATACTATCAGGTCCTGAGAACCCTAAACATTAAGTCTAGCGTTTTAGAATTATGGGGATAAGAGGAAAGCCTGGGGGCAGACAGGAGGCCCGAGCCCGGCCTCGGGCTGGACAGAGGGTGCGGAAGCGAGGCAGGTCCGTGTTCCCATTCCCAGGGGTCCGCTCACATCTTCTCCTGCAGGATCCCATAGTAGAAATAGCAGACAAAGACACCCAAGAAGCAGAGCGGCAGGCGCAGCCGGTCTGGCACCAGGGATTTGCTAGCGGCCATGAGACGCCCAGACGAGTCGACCGGAGACCCGCTCACAACCGGCAGCGGCAGCGGCGGCGAAGGCGGCAGCTCCAGGCGGACATCGCCGACCGGCAGCAGAGGCCTCATAGGAGCTACACGCGACCATGCCTTAGTAGGACCCAGCAGTCAACTCCAGAACTGCCAGCTTAGGGTTGCCAAGAGGAAAAGTCCTCGAAATCCAGAAAACACTTGATGAGAAAGAAAACAGGCTCTTGAGATCTTGGCTCTATTCCTGGTGGCGACAGAATTCAGCTTTCTCGAGGCTAATACCTCGATTTTTTATTTTCAATCAGGCAATGTTGAGGACCACTGCAACCCGGAGCTCGACGGAGTGGCCTAGAAGATACGCGGTCGTAGAGTGATGACGTATAAGGATGTGGAGGTCACCAATTGGTTGGGCTGTGCGAAGACAGACAGGTGGGTGGGGACGGGGGCGGTGCTGCCGGGGGAGCGAATTAAAAAGTCTCCGGGTGGACATCCCGGCTTCTCCTGGGTCCTAACGCCTTGAAACGTTTAAGGAGCCTCAACGCCCTCTAGCGGATGCCCACCGTCAGTGATTCAACTCCGCTCTACCAAAGTGCTCAAAACCTGGCTTTGGAGAGTCCTCACGCAGTTCCTGTGCTTCCTATACTAGGAGCAACGCAGTAGACGTCAGCTAGATCCGGGGTCTTGTGAGGGAAAAGGTGGGACAGTGTACACGTGATGCTTAAATTCTGAGCCACAGTTTTCCCAGTCTGTAAACTAGAAATCTTTAGTAAACAGCTTTGTCACCCCTTGACTGATCTGAGGATCAAAAGAGCTGAGTTTTATTAAAGTGTTCTATAAACTGTAAACGGTGCTGTGCAAGTTGAAGGGATTGTCATTACCCTTTCTCAACTCCTATCTTATTTTCTCACATCTTGGAAGTGAAAATGAAAGTTCACTGAAGTGAAATTTCAAGGCTCTCCAATTTACCAACAATGGACCCAAAACTAACTTCCTCCAGCATCTTTCACATTAAATCCCTCATTCGACCCCTCCTCCACCCAAGGGCTGTGTCTCCAACCTGCTGTGCCAAACTGGCAGGGGCCAGACTGACCCCGATTCTTTCCACTCAATCCCCGTGTATTAGCCCAATTCTCAGGCAACCAGTTGGACTCTAGGCTGTTTTGTTTCTTCTAGCTGCCTGCTCTTTGGCACTGACTCAGGCAAAGGAAGGAAACATTGGGCAGTACCACACCCATCACTAGAGGTCTGACTCACTAAGACTTTGGGGGCAAGCCAGCCACCTTAAGGGGGCTTAGAGAAGTTAGATCCAAGCCAGCGCTGGTGGCTCACGCCTCTAATCCTAGCTACTTGGGAGGCTGAGATTTAAGGATCACAGTTCAAAGCCAGCCCAGGCAGGAAAGTCTGTGAGACCCTTATCTCCAATTAACCACCAGAAAACAAAGTGGTGCTGTGGCTCAAGTGGAAGAGCATTTGCTTTGAACTGAAGAGCTGAGGGACAGTGCCCAGACCAGAGTTCAAGCCCCCATGACCTACCAAAGAAAAAAAAAAAAAAAGAAACAGAAGATCCTATCCTAGTCTACTGCCTCTTTTGTATTACAGTGGGGAATTCCCAGCATTTGCTCTCTTGCCCAGTGCCTTAGTCTACTGAATCAGTTGGCACATCCAGGGAGTCAAGTAATAAGTAGCTGGGATCAGAGATTTAGGTTCCAGTCCCAGTTTTGGTCTTTTTGCCAGCCATGACCTCAAACAATTCACTCGACTCAGGTCTTGTGAGATTAATGTGAATATAAAAACATGGGCAGTGGTATCAAATGCTAAGGTTTTCAATCCTAGTGCTCCCATTTGCTATCTGTCTGGGAAAAAGTCAATTAAAAAAATCTTCCCTCACCTTTCTCTCATTGAGTGGTTATCATATTTCAATAGCACCTCATGTAAAGCACTAAACATGATAGTTAGGATAGCCTGACAGAGGATTTGTCTTGAGGTCTTATAGATAAGACCCAGTGGTACTCATGATTGCTGTTGGGGTTCTCAATTCGCCACCTGATATAGTAGTAACAATGTGTGTTTTGTGAAAATGCTTTGTAAATTCAGGGCACTATCAGAAAGTTGGGACGGTTATTTCCACTTTCCCCCAAGAGCTCTTATAGAAGCAGCATTGGACTGAGAAGCTGCAGAACAAGAGCAGTTTCTTCCTACAAGGTTGTACACTGGGTTGTAGGTGCCCACTGAAATGGGAAGAGCCAAAGGGAACATAATGGTCTTAAAGGTGTACTAGGAGAATTAATCTTAATGACATCCCCTTATCTCCTTCCCTTTGCCAGTGCAAGGAACATTCACCAGGCCAAATTGTCGTACACTCCCTCCCACCCCCGCAGTCACCCTCATTTCCTCTCAATTCCACTCTCCAGAATCCAGAGCCTTCTCAGACTCAGTGAAGATGGGTCACATCCCCAATGACTTCCTCCCTCAGCCACTCACAGGCAACATCACACTTTTTTCTGGACAGACTTTACATGGGTCTGCTGTTTCTGTGTCTTGTGAAGAAGCAGGATGTCCGTCTAGATAGCACCCACACCCAAGGCATTATGTGTTTAATAGTAAAGTTAAATGAAACAACCAATATGATCCTGTCCATCTCCATTCCACTCCTCCCATATACTTAACAGAACTTCAAGCTGCTGGGAATCCTTATTTATTTGGTCTATTAACAAGATCTGCACACACACAAAAAAACCAACAACAACTTCTAAACACAAGATAAGAAAACTCAAACATTAACATTCTTCAATTGTGTGTAAGCTCTGCAATATGGAAATATACAAACTTCAAACAGCTGCAAAAATAGTGTCTTTGGGAGAAAATAGAGTTCTACATCGATACAAGAAAAATAGGCATTTTTCTAATCCAGCCTAGCCCTGGGACCGGTGGAGGGTTTGGAGCTACCACTGTCACCTGAAGGAACACTCGCTCTCCCTCTTCCTCCACCACACACCGGGGAGCTGGGCTACTGCTTAAGACAATCTTTAGTCAGGGTGAGGGTGAGATGAAATGCCACTTGGGAAAACATTTGGTTCCCCGCACTGCCAGCAGCTGAATTGGTCAAGTGTTATGGCCCTTTAGGGCCGCTTTGGTCAGTCTCCAAGAGGAGGGAGGCATGAGGATGGGTACTTATCTTCTGGTCTGCTCTTCTGTGTCTCTAGAGGTGGAGTAGGAAGAAAGCTGTGACATCCCCTCCCCCTCAGTCACAGCCAGCCTGCTCCATGCCAGCAAGAGCCTACTCTAATTCAACTGGACTCACACCCTGGGGTGGGGGACTCAGGACCTAGGTGAGTTTCCATCAAATGAGGGAAGTGGCAGGTACACAGGTGTTGAGTTTTGAGTTGCCCAGCTGCTAATGGAGGAAGCAAGTCCCCTCACATTCAGAGAGGCTCATATCCATCAGAAAGAGGACTCAGGGCTTTGACACAATAAACGAAAGTGCTCGAAGGTCGAGAGGGAAAGGCCTTCCCATCCCTCAACTCAGGGAGCTAAAGAAAGGCCTGCCACCAAGGCACTGGTCTCCGTAGCAGAGTATGTGTATGTGTGGAGGGGGTCCCCTCAGACTACCAAGGAGCTCTGGAAAAGTACAGACTCTTCTGATGGCGGGTTGTGCTGCCATGGCTCGAATGGCAGTGGGGAGGCCTTGGAAGCCTCTGGATCCTTCCGAAGTGGTGCTCTGGGGCTGGCAGGAGGAAGAGGAGATCCCGGATTTGAGGGGCAGTTGCGGAAGATGAAACCCATGCTGGGGAAGAGGGGCTTCATCAAACTGACAGGGCAGAAGGCTGAGCCGGTCGGATTGAAATGGACTTTGTTCTTGTCAGGACAGGAAGTCAGAAAGGCCAGATCAGGACCTGGGGACCTGGAGAATGAAGAAACACAAAGGTACACAGAGAAACAGCCAGTGAGGAAGGGTTAGACATGTCACTACAGCAGGGGAGTTGGATCTCTCTGCTCAAACAGATGGCAACTTGACCAAAAAATAAAGGCTATAGTCTTTAGGTCCCTCGGTTCTTACCATTTTTGTGTTGCACTGGGGATAGTACTGCACATAGCACTTCACAGGTATTTCGCTCATTTTAGGCAAGTACGCTCCACTGAGCTATAATCTATAGCCTATCCTCTCTTAGTATGGCTAAATAAGAAGAAATACAAGATAGCTAGAAACAGGAGAGATAGCTACCCAACAATGTGATTCTAGAAGAGGAAACGAAGGGATTCTTTCATTTGAAAGATGTCATCAGGGAAATGTGTCAGGAGCAGACTATTTGCCAAAAGTCAGAGCTCCAAGCACAAATGGCTTTCTTAAACCTGTAGTTGAAGGTGTGGCTCTCAGCTTTTGACCTATTCACATTAGAGCTGGATAATTCCCAGCTGCAGGGGTGGATAGGAAAGTACTTTAGGATTATTTAACAGCATTTCTGATCTCTACTCACTAGATGTGAGTAGTACCAGAATGCCCCAGGCTGTGACAACCATGTCTCTTGGGGTAGAGGTGTAGCTCAGTGGTGGAGCTTGCTTACCTACCATGTGTTTCCATCCCCAGTACCACACACACACACACACACACAAAAAGGTGGAGGGTGGCTCTTGACATTGCTATTATCTGCTGGGGACAAAAAAAAAAGTCTCCCACTGAAACCTACTAGCTTAATGAATCTAACTCTTGAACACATTTGAAAGATGTGATTGTGAAATATTTTGCTGTAAGGAAAAGACAGCAACAACCATCAGGATGGCAGTTAGACTGTCTCAGAAGACTTAGGTTCTAACTTATCATATAATCTTGGCCATATCTGTATAACCTTTACTGTGAGAGAAATGGTCTCTGCTCTTCTGAGTGTTAGGGGAAAACAGAAGGATGAAAAGCAGTTCAGCTAACAAATTCCTGAGTGAGGAATCCTGATGATAAACTAGAAGAGCATGTATGACTAGAGGGAAAGAAACCTGAGGAGTTGCTAGCTGTGAGGCTTCTGGTGAGAAGACAAATGGGCGGAGATGGTAAACCTTGGTCACTAATGGTACTATTGAAGTCTAGGCACCGAAAAAATACTCAGAATACAGATTGACACATTGACTTTCGTTTTAATCCTAGCAACCTCATAGTTTAAAGGCCCAGGAAAGAGCGAGGTGTCAGGTACAGCATGAGAAGTGGTGCCAAACAGTGGCAGGCTGGGGGCGAGGGGGTGGTGGTGTGAGCAAAGGCCTGAGGGCACAGGCACTCTGCAAGGCATCCTCACAGACAAGGGTTTAAAAGAATCCATTCTGGCTGGCGCTGGTGGCTCATGCCTGTAATCCTAACTATCAAGAGGCTGAAATCTGAGGATCAAGGTTCAAAGCCAGCCCAAGGCACAAAAGTCTGTAAAACTCTTATCTCCATTTAACCACCAGAAAACTGGAAGTGGTACTGTGGCTCAAAGTGGTAGAGCACTAGCCTAAAGCAAAAGAGCTCAGGGACAGCACAGCACCCACAACCGAAAGAAGAAAAAAAAAATCCTACTTTGTTGGGGGGTGGGAAATGGACAGGAGAAGGAATGTTCTTGGTGTGTGACAGACCAAGAGAACACAGAGCAATACTCAGAGAACACAAATGCAACTTGCAGGACCCTGAGTAGCTTGACCGCTTATCTGGGAAATCCAGGTGGTCTTAAGAAAGGGCAGCAGCAATGAGGAGGAAAATGTGGCAAAAGAATTGCTACATGCAAGAAACTTGCCAACAGATAAAATGCAGAGACCTTGGGAACTGCAGAGTTTTAAACCCAGATTATGTTAACAAATAATCGATGGACTTGGTGGTCCTATATGTGGACTACTTTGCGTGCGTGCGTGCGTGCATGTGTGTGTGTGTGTGTGTGTGTGGTCGTGGGGTGTGAACTCTGGGCCTGTGTGCTGTGTGTGTGTGCTGTGTGTGTGTGTGTTTGTGGTCATGGGGTGTGAACTCTGGGCCTGTGTGATGTCCTTCAGCTCTTCAGCTCACGGCTAGCGCTCTACCACTTGAGCCACAGCGCCACTTCCGGCTTTTTCTGCTTATGTGGTGCTGAGGAATCAAACCCAGTGTCTCATGCATGCAAGGCAAGCACTCTACCACTGAGCCACCTTCCCAGCCCACATGTGGACTACTTTAAAACCACTTCTGGCATCAAGAGTCTGAGAAAGAGTCAGGACAAGCAATAACCTAATTTTAGCCAGCATTTACAACGTGGACTGAGGGAAAGCACAGAGTCCAGTCTGCTTGAGCTACAAGAGCTGGTCTCTTCCCTGCATAGCACTCCAGAGATCCAGAGGCTTGAAGCATACCAGCAGCAAGGCTAGTACTAGTAAAGTCCTGCAGGCAGTGGTTTTCTCCAGAACTCCTACCTCCATGGTTTGTCTGCTCCCTCATTTAAGATATACTTGGTGCTCTCAATACCCCAAACAATCCCACACCATGACTAAACTTCCTGACTGCCATCAAAACCACAACTTCCAGTGTGAATCTGCCCAGTCCAATATGGAGCTGCCGGAGAAAATAAAAGAGTTCTTGGGTCTGCTGAGGGAGACAGTGTGGGCCTGGAAAGGTCCCTCTCAGCCTTTTGTTAAGGGGAGGGAAACTGGAAAGAGATCAAGCAGAATGGCTTCTGAACTACCCAATCAGGTTTGGGAATATTCCTTAGTCCCTACTTGTAAGGACTAGACATTTCTGTCTAGGAGTTCACAACACTTCATACTCTTCTCCCTCCCCCCCCCCCCCCCCCCCCCTCTGTGTCTGTTTCTCTGTCTCTCTGTCTCTCTCACTTCCTTATTATGGTCTAGCAAATCCTCATACCTTCCCCCAGGGATAGGGGTAAAAAATAGCAGAAACAAAGGTTAGGTTTCAGATATCTTTCTTTTCCAGCTCCTGCTGCACTTGTGGCTGCCATGTGGGCAGAGAACAGGTTTCTATGGAGATAATGATAAGCAAAGATTTAAGTGCTCAGGGGAGGTAATGTCAACAAGTTTGATCATGGAAAAAACAGTAATACTCATAATCTGATGTTGACAACACCTCTAAGACAGGAGAGACATCATGACTGGAGAAGGGCCTGTCAGGTGGGATGACATGGGGCTGGCCCTCCATCCCTCCCACACCTCCACTTGATGTACTCACGTGGCCTCTTCAAACACACGCACTCTCTCACAGCCTTCTGGGGGCTCCCGTTTGAAGACGTAGCTGTGATTGGGCCGAGGGGAGGCAGCAAAGGCAAGGACTGGAGACGGGCTGCCATCTTCAAGGAAGGCTGGGTGACCCAGAGAGGAAGCTGTAGACAGAGCAAGGCTGAGTCCAGTGAAAAGGAAGGAAAGGCCTCTTTTTTTCTCAGTTCAGGCCTGGGTGTAAAGGGGCAAAGTGGCTCTGCTAATCTGGTTGGTTTCTTTTATATTCTACCTTTAAAAATCCTACTTATTAGACAAGGGCCAGTGGCTCACACCTGTAATCCTAGCTACTCAGGAGGCTGAGATCTAAGGATTATAGTTCAAAGCCAGCCTGGGCAGAAAAGTCCATGAGACGCTTATCTCCAGGAAACTGCTTAGAAAAAGGTGGAAGTGGCACTGTGGCTCAAGTGGTAGAGCACTAGCCTTGAGGACAAACAGGCTCTGGGACAGTGTCCAGACTGTGAGTTCAAGCCCCAGAACTAGCAAAAAAAAAAAAAAATAGGCAAATAAACAGACACAGTCCAAGGGGCTTATGTGCTGATGGTTCACATCTATAATTCTAGTTACTCAAATAGCTAAGATCTGAGGATTGTAGTTTGAAGCCAGCCCAGGCAGGAAAGTAGGTGAGACTCCTATTTCCAATTGATCACCAGAAAACTGGAAGTAGAACTGTGGCACAAAGTGATAGAGTGCTAGCCTTAAGCAGAAAAGCTCAGGAACAGCGCCCAGGCCCTGAGTTCAAGTCCCATGACTGACATAAAAGGGGAGTGAAAAAAGCCAAAGGCTAGGATTTTATAGCTTAGTGGTAAGAATATTTGCTAAACATGTATGAAGTCCCAGGTTCCTTTCAAAGCCCTCTCCCTCCAGGAAAAAAAAAAAAAAACTAAACAAAACCAAAACCAAACAAAAATACATTGATGGGAAAAGGCCTTATACCAATTCTACATTCCAGGAGACAGATGGGGATTGAACCTCCAGACCTCAAGACTTATAGGAACCCTTCCTACCATCCTTCCTTCTGAAACTGCAATGCCCTGCCTGCCAGAATACCCCAGCTGCCTTCTTGCCACAGTCTGGAAAGCCTAGCCCTCCTTGTGGAGAATGCTCCTCCTGTACCAACTCCAAGAAGCAACCTTGACTCAACCCCACTCAGAGGATAAAATTTCTCTCACTTTCCATACCATGAATGAACTTTCCTAAGTTTCATATATTGACTTTATCTTTATGTGTATTTACATCACATTTATTCCTCCTTACACTATGCTCTATTTACTTATGTGTAGTGTTAGATCATGCTCTTTACCAACCTACCATGTAGACTTGCTGGGAACCTCACATCAGACAGTGTGGACAACAGGGATCCCTGTATTAACCTGTCTGTGAAGAGCTGGGGTGCAGGAGGAAGTAGATTTGGAGTCAGTTCAAGTGTCAGCCTGGGTCCATCTGAGGGATGCTGGGCAAGAGATACCTTCTCCTACTTTATATCATTTATAACTGCCTTGAAGCCCCTTGTTAGGAAATGAGTAGAGGGGATACCTGAACAGAGATGTCCTGGCTTTCCATGTTAGTCATAAGACCAGGATGGAAGGACTGCTTTTCTGGATTCTACTGAAGATTAAGTAAAAGTATAGGTGCAGAGACTTTATAAGCCACAAATCAGAATGTGCTGAAAAGCACCATTATTATTTTTGGCACAGAGGACAGAGTGTAGATGACTCATAGATAGTCTAGTTGGCTCAGAAGTCATAATGCTGGACCTGAGGCTGCTTGGAAGGAAAAGAGAGTGAAGCACCTCCTGTAGCTTGAAGCCAGCCCCCTGCTACTTCAGCTCCTCAGCTTACCTTTGTCACTGGGGAAGGATGCCAGCTCCTCAAGACTAGCCTGCCCAGAAGGCTGGGGGGATGCCAGGGCTGTGGAGGGAGAACTGGCAAGGTTGCCTGGCTCCAGGAGGAGGAGAGGATGATCGCAGCTGTCCCTCTGCAGAGGAGCCGGTGCCCGATGCCCATCAGGGACTTCAAGAATCTGATGGGGAAGGAGGGGAGACAATCAGTCTAGGCCTTCTCAGGCCTGTGGCACTGCAGTTAACCCCAAAGTGCTCCCTGTGCCCTTCCTGTCAGCCTGTATTCATATTACACAATGACAACAGTACACCGTTTCCCTAAGACATTTCTCTTTCTGACCTTGTTCACTCTAGGAGACACACACCTGTTCCTCCCACGGCACTTTATTCTTTTCCTTCATAGCAGGAATAATCATTTGTTCATGTGTGGGGTGTGACCAATGTGTCACCTCACCAGGCTATGAGCCTCACAATGTCAAGGACTCTTGTGTGCTGCACTCTGGAATAAAATGCTGAGTGATAAATGCAGTGGGACATAGTAGGGGCAAGGCGCCAGGACACAGTACATTCTGTGAGCCACTGCAGGACAAGCAGCCGATAGTTGCCATGGATTAAAAACCTGCCACTCTCCTTTTTTAAACACTCCACACTTGGGCTCCCTAGCTCAGGCATGTGTTTGAGTATATATGAAATTCTGCATGTATCCAATTTAAAACTCAACCAGGGGTAAATCATACATGGAAGCATATGCCCATTAGAATTATATTAATACTGGATCCAGGTGCAGTGGTTCATGACCCCTAGCTACTTGACAGGTAGATAAAGGAGTGTGGTTTGAGGTCAGCTAGGGCAAAAAGCTCGTGAGATGCTCACAAGCTGAGCAAGCATACTTGTACTCCTAACTCCACAAGAAGCAGAAATAGGAGAATAGTCTAAGGCTGGTCCTATCTGAAAAGTGTGAGACTCTATCTAAAAAGTCACTAAAGTAAAAAAGGCTGGGCACACATCTTAGGAGTAGAGCACCTGCTCTAGCAAGCACAAGGCTGAGTTCAAGCTCTGATAACACACACACACAGACACACACACACACACACAGACACACACACAGACACACACACACAACTGAGCTAGGCACTGGCAGCTCATGCCTGAAATCCTAGCTACTCAAGAGGCTGAGATCTGAAGATTAAGGTTTGAAGTCAGCCTGGGCAGGAAAGTCCATGATACTCTAATCTCCCACTAACCAGAAAAAAAGCCAGAAGTGGAGCTGTGGCGCAAGTGGTAGAGTACTAGCCTTGAGCATAAGAGCTAAGGAACAGCACTTAGGCTCTGAGTTCAAGCCCTAGTATCAGCATACACACAAAAAATACTGCTCAACTGGCATTCCTGAATTGTACTGTGTCAGTATGAAAATGTGCCTGAGACTGCAGAAAAAGTAGCATGTAATTCCGCCCTGGAGGGGGCAGGGAGAAGGCTCCCATGGCAACTGTGCATGAAGGAGAGATATGTGTCACCAGGTAGAGATGGCATGAGCCCATTGGTGTACTCTGGGCATAGCCACACTCACTCTCAGAAGCTCCTCTTCACCCTGCTCCTTCACAAACACCTCCTCCAGCTCTTGGTTGAGTCCTTCTAGGCTCTTGTGCAGACAGGGGCTAAGTCGCAAGACAGGGGATCCTGAGGAGAAGCTAGGAGAGGCCATCTGAGGAGAGGCAAATGCAAGAATTGCATGAAATCTAACACGTCCCATCCAGTTCTCAGTTCTGACCAGGGGATGATGGTCATGCCCATTCATGATTTAGTGACAGCTACAGATTGCAATAGGCCCATTCCAGTGGAGTTTTCTCTAGAAACTAGAGCTGTCAGAGGTCTAGAATGTGCTTTTACAGTCATTTGCCTCACTTGCACAGGGATGGGGGTGGGGAAGAGGTATTCAGAATAGCAAGAAGACCAGGCAAGTCCATTTTTGGACTAAAACCTCATTGTGGCCACCCATTTGGCCACCAAAGCATACAATGGTAGGGCTCAGTATTGCAAGAGCAGAGAGAATTCTGCTCAGCAGGAGGCCTACACTGGAGGACAACAGAAGGGTGCCAGTGGATGGCAACACATACTCTCACCGATCCCCGCACAGCATGGTCCCCTTGGATGGGAGAACCCCGTTCCTTCTCCCTCCCACTGCGGCTCAGCTTCGTCCTCTGCAATTGTTGCTTCAATTTGGTGATCTGGCAGTGGAGAGACAGAGACAGAGGGGAGAGGAAATGAAGTGGAGAAGAAAAGCACAGGGTCCTTGCTCTCAAGTATGTCCCTCCCGCCCCCAACGGCCAGCGGAGACACATACAAAGAGTGGGAAGTTAATCTTCCATTTTGGAAGAGACCAGTAGTATTGAAACTTGTGAAGATCAGGTCCTCAGACAAGCTGGATAACTAGACTCTTTGATTTTTCTTGAAGTACCACATATTCCTGAAATGGATCTGTCTCCATCTAAGTAAAAATACACAATGCTGGAACCATTTTGTCTGTCACAGATTACAAAGAAGTGGAATGCTATTCTGCTAAGAGCAAAAGAAGTTAGTGGTTGTGAATGTCAAAAGTAGCTCATTCCTTAAAGAACATTCTTGATTATCCCAAAGGCCTGAGACCAGGAAAGATGGAAATATATTCTCCCATTTTACAATAGACCATACCATGAAAGGACAAGCTCTCTAGAGGAATACCACATTTTGTCTTGACCCTGTAACAATTAGAAAATATCATTAACATTTTCAAATATTATCACTGTCCCATTTGTAATTCTGGACTTTCCTGCCACCCACTGGCAAATACTCAGGGATGCAGAATTACATAAATGGGAGCAAAAATGGAATTCAGAAATCAGATCCGCTGCCCATAGCTGCAAACTTTGGGATAACAGCCAAGGAGAAAGTACTTTTAGAATTGCCACTGTGGCTCAACTATACCTTGACTTTGTATCTTTAGTATGAATAACTTGCTTGTTTATCCTGATTCTGAAAATGTTAAATATTTATAAATTTCATGTTATCCTTAAACTTGCAATGCATTCACTTCATGTTTTCTCACTGTTCTCAGAAACTTCCTTTTCTGCAGGCATTGAGGATAAGTACTAGCAAGCAGACCCCGTCTAAGAGGTACCTTGTAACATGTGAACAAGTGATAGTTTGAGAACCCTGGAATTTCGTCCTATTTTTTTTCTTTTTTTTCTACTCAACCTCAATATCTTGACCCATTCTGAGGCAGCCGGAGGACCAAAGACAAAGCATTAAGGAACACAAACTAACTTTTGTCTTCTATTAAAAATAATGTTAGAAGGCTGAGAATGTGGTTTAGTGGCAGAGTGCTTGCCTAGCATGCATGAAGCCCTGGGTTCGATTCCTCAGTACCACATACACAGAAAAAGCCGGAAGTGGTGCTGAGACTCAAGTGGTAGAGTGCTAGCCTTGAGCCAAAGAGACTCCGGGACAGTGCTCAGGCCCTGAGTTCAAGACCCAGAACTGGCAATAAATAAATAAATAATGCTGGGGCGGGGTGCCAGGGGTTCACACCTATAATCGTAGCTACTCAGGAGGCTGAGAATGCAGTTCAAAGCCAGCCCAGGCAGTCATATCTGAGACTTATCTTCAATAAACTACAAAAAAAGTCAGAAGTGGTGCTGTAGCTCAAGTGGTAAAGCACTAGCCTTGAGTAAAAGAAGCTTAGGGACAGTGCCCAGGCCCTGAGTTCAAACCCCAGGACCGGAAAAAAAAAAAAAAGAAGAAGAAGAAGTAAGTGAGGTTGGGGACTCTCGAGTCACAGGAAACTATTTCCTATCTTGCTTTAGTTTTTGAACCCCTTATCCAAATCCAGCCTTAAAGTGAGAATGACACAAGAAGGCATCAGAGCTGTAGGCTCAGCCCTTCACTAGCAGGAGGCTTTGGGCTCCTAAACCAAGGTGATTAGGAGGCTAGGAGTCAGTGCTGCTCAAGACAAGGCTGGGTGGAGGCAAAGGAGGTGAGAAATATGGTTGCCCTCTGGGGCAGATATACTGCATGGTGCCAGGGGACAGAAAAGAGAGGCAAGAGGGTAAGTTACCTCTTTTCGGTGGTCTGTGCTACCCCAGGATGCTGAGCGCTTGTGGGTGGAGGAGCTGATCCGCTCACATTCCGGCTCTTGCCAGGACAGGGGTGTCTGCAGGGGAAACAGTAAGAGGGAAAGAGAGAGCAGCTTTGCAATAGGTCAGGGAAGCAGACATGCTTTCCTGTGTCAAGGCTGTGGCCTGTGAAGTTGTCTTGCACCTGCTCATCAACTAGCTGTACACGCCCAGGCTGCAGAATGCCTTCTAGGCAGATCCACCCCAGCCTACATCCTCCAGGAAGCCTTTCTGATGGCCTAATAGCGCTGCCCTCCTCTTTTATCTTTTATGGCTTTCATACAGGTTTTATAGCTCCCCAGGGGTGGACCAGGTACTGTCTCTCCTCTATCAACCAGCTGTAAAAGCATGACAAGGGGAACTCTACATCTTTCTCATACTCCATGTGTGCAGCACAGGCGTAGGTGCCTGGAAGTCTAAGCACGGTGCCTCAAGCTTTATCTTTTCCTACATACAGTATGACTGTAGCAGCCTCAAAGTCCTCCTGAATGAGCAAGGAAGAGACATTTTTGGAAAGGAGGGAGCCAGAATTCTGTCCTCTGTTCTGAGTTCTGACCCTCTGGCTTATCTTTTTTTTTCCTTTTTTTTTTTTTTTTTGGTCCAGTTGTGGGGCCTGAACTCTGGGCCTGGGCTCTCTCCCTCAGCTCTTCAGCTCAAGGCTAGCACTCTACCACTTGAGCCACAGCGCCACTTCTGGCTTTTTTCTTTTTGCTTATGTGGTGCTGAGGAATCAAACCCAGGGCCTCATGCATGCAAAGCAAGCGCTCTACCACTGAGCCACCTTCCCAGCCCCCCTCTGGCTTATCTTTACCATTCCACATCCTCATCCTCCTTTTTCTCCTCCTACTAACTCTCCCTCCTTCTCCTCCTCGGCCTTCCCGGTCCTCCAAAAGAGCTTTTCATTTGCCACCTTCCCTTCTCTGCTGCATGAAAACAAGGGACCCCAAGTCAGGGGTGGAGGGCTCACTTCCTGAGCCCCACCACCACCAAGGGAGGAAGTTATTGGCTCTAAGCATGAAGTCAAAGAGGCCCATATCCCTCCTTACAATCAAATCCTACTTCATTCCAAGAGAGGCCCAAGGCCTGTTCCTCTTTTATGTTCCGTGCACTTGCTGCCAAAGACATGAGGGCCTGGGAACCATCTCCTCCAAGAGATCTGCTGACCTCCCCTGAGAGCTGCTGCACACAGAAGGGGGGCATCAAGAAAACACAACTACTCACCACCCAACAGCTGCTGAGAGGAGCTTGTGGGGTATCTAAGCCAGTTGTGAGAGCAGGCTGTGTGCAACAGCTGTGTGGAGAGGAGCCACTGTAGGCTGAGCCTCTGGCTCTTCCTGCCCCCAGCTGTCCATGACCAGGACCTTTAGAGCCTAACTGTACAACACAGCCAGTGAGGGATGATGGTCTCAACTTCTGTGTCCTGATGCTGGCATCACTAGGAGCACATCCTGAGATGCAACCCCTACTATTCCTCCATCAGAAAAGGGCCGCCAGCAGAGTCCTCAGGGGACACTGGCTCTCAGACTCTAGAAACCAAGCAGCTGGTGTTCTTTCAAAGGCTGGTCTTTCTAAAGCAAACATCAGAGTCTCAGAAGAGGCTGCTGCCTTTTATGCTGAAAGGGAGCATGCCCATCTCTCCTTCCAGTCACTAGGACCTGGCCAACACATAACCATCTTCCCTTCCCAAGACACTAAAGCCAAATCCATAGATTATCATTTCTCCCAGCAAAGCTCTGAGGGTCACAGAGCCTGTTATCCTGGAAGGGTGGCAGAAGCCATGGGAGAGGATGGCAAAAACCATGATGCTATTTCCCTTCATCCAGGAAGATGCTGTGCTTATCAGTGAGCAGTGAGATAGGGGAGAAACAGCAAGCTGAGGCTGTCATTGGCTATTGATAAACATCTCTTCAAACTCTTCAACTTCTTTCTTTCAGTATATGTGAGGGGGTAGAAGGAGACCTGTTGGCTGGCATGGGAGTTCAGAAAAGATATGAAAACCAGAGCTGTTGGAAAATCTCCTCTAGCAATCCATTTTACTCCACCTTTCTCTGCTCAGTAACATTTTCCAACTATGGAGCATTCTGACTCGATGTTCTCTAAAGTCATTATTTGTTTGATATTTTTCTTTTCTTTCCTTCTCTTTTTCTGTGTGCAGGCACTAGTACCTGAATTCAGGGCTTCACACTCTAGCTGGGAGTTTTTAACTCCTAGCTAGGGCTCTACCAGTCAAGCCTCCAGTTCTGGTTTTTTGTTTTTGTTTAATTTTTGCTGGTTAATCAGAGATAAGAGTTGGTTGCCTGCCTGAGCTGACTTTGAACCTTGATCCTCAGATCTCAACCTCCTTAGTAGCAAAGATTACAGGCATGATCCACCAACACCCAACAATCACTGTTTTGTCTCAACACTCACCCCTACCTATAGGTAATACCTATAGGTATTACTATCTCTTCCTTCAGCTCAGATTCTTTGTCTTGCCCAAGCAAATTCATTTCCTTTTCTGCCTTCACCCTTGACCTCCAAGCCTGGGGTGAGGGTTTGGAGCCATCTAAGATGCTATGCTCTGTATCTATTCCCAGCCTTGTCAATGGGGAAGACTGTCTTAAGTTGGCTGCCTTGTGTTGGGTGTTCCTCTGTTCCGTCTTTTCCACCTAATAGGCTCAGGGTGTGTGGAGCATTCATGCACTCAGTGAGTATCTACTGAATGTATGATGTGTGCATCAGGTATAATTCCAGGAGGTGGGAATACAACAGTGCACAGAACAACAAAAATCCTTGACGAGTTTGTTCTAAACAGTGATAAGTGCAAAATCTAAAACACAACCCATCGAAGGGATAGAAAGGGATAGTGGGAATGCAATCTGAAATGCCAGGAAGTCCTCATTGGATAAAACCAGGAAGGAGGTGAGGGAGTAAGCCAGATGGACATGTGAGGTAGGAGCCACATGGATAGGAAACGAAGAGCAACTAGAAAGACCCTGCAGCAAGTCCTGCGTGTCTGAGAATCATGAAGCTGCCAGGGTGACAGAAGTAGAGGGAAGCTGGAGAATAGTGGGAGAGGTAGGTAGGTAGGAAAGGTTGAAAATAGTAGTGTCACAATGGTTGGTATTTTTGTGCCAGACCTAGGACTTGAACTCAGGGCCAGGGTACTGTCCCTGAGATTTTTTTTTTGCTGGAGCCTAGTGTCTCACTTGAGACACAGCTCTACTTCCATCTTTTTGGCAGGAGATAAGAGTCTCATACTTTCCTGCCTGGCTGGCTTCAAACCACAATCCTCAGTTCTCAGCCTGCTAAGGATTATAGGCACGAGGCACCAGCACCCAGCGCGGGTGATTTTTAATTTCTCTTTTATGCTTTTCAAGATTTTGCAGTCTCTAGTGCTTTAAATCCCCATAAGCAATAATATTAGTTATTCTAATTGTAAAACAATATATGTCCACTGTAAAATATCAACCAAAACAAAAGCAGGGGGCAAAAAAAAATGTAATTGGCATAAAAAATCAGGGAGCAGTTTTGTTTCCTTCAATCAGGGCTTCAATTATATTCTGTTAAATCCTCCTAAGTAACTGGGGTAAAAAAGGAAAAAAATATGAATAAAGGACGCACCCCTCCCCAAAATATTAGAAGCCTATAAATGTTACCTTATATGGCAAAGTTTTTGCAAATGTGAATCAAGATCTTCAGAAAGGAGGATTACTCTGGGATTATCTGGTTGGGTCCTGAATGCTATTATATGTGTGCTTATGATCGAGGGACAGGCAGAAGGAAGAGGATAAAGCAGTGTGACCACAGATGAACAGACTGCAGTGATGTGGCCACAAGATACCAGCAGCCACTGGAATCTGGAAGAGGCAAGGAGCAGGCTCTCACAAGAGCAACTGAGCTGGGTGTGGTGGTGCATACTCTAACCCCAATACTTGGGAGGCAGAGAGAGAAAGAGAGAGAGAGAGAGAGAGAGAGAGAGAGAGAAAGTCCAACCCGGACTACATAGGAAGAGACTACCTTAAAAAATAAAATAAAGAGATTCCTGAGACAACACAGTTCTGCCAGTATCTTGCTCTTGGCCCATGGAAATTGAATTTGGACTTCTGATTTATAGAACGTTGAAGGGAATAAACTGTTGTTTCAAACTGGTAAATACCAAGGTAAACTGGTAAACGGGTTGTTTTAAAGCCTCAGGAATACAACAGAGCAGGTTAGCCTGAATTTAAAGCTGTTTATATGCTGGCAGTGAGTATTGTTAAAGCAACATGTGCATAAATGTGGGCTTTAGCTCCTCCAAACTGTACTGGGTGTGTCAAGAATGTCCCCCTTGAGCTAGTGACTCATGTCTATTATCCTAACCACTCAGGAGGCTGAGATCGAGAGGATTACAGTTCAAAGCCAATCCAGGCAGAAACATCTGTGAGATTCTGTCTCCAAAATAACCAGCAAAAAGCAAAGTTGGAGGCATGGCAACCTAAGTGGTAAGACCAGCCAAGCAAGGAAGCTGATGAGTATGAGGCTCCGAGTTCAAATCCTAGTACCACCAAAAAAAAAGAATAAAGATTTCCTTCCTTCATTTTTAGTAGTCGTTGTTGGACATGTACTTTTCTTTTTTTCTTTTTTTTGGTTGGTCATGGGGCTTGAACTCTGGCTGCTGTCCCTGAGCTCTTTTGCTCAGGGCTAGTGCTCTATTACTTTGAGCCACAGTGACACTTCTGGTTTTCTGGTGGTTAATTGGAGAAAAGTCTTATGGACTTTCCTGCCAGGGTTGGCTTCAAACCACAATCCTCAGATCTCAGCTTCCTGAGTAGCTAGGATTACAGGCATAAGCCATCAATGCCCAGCTGTGACCCTCCTTTTCTGGGTCTCACAACAGAGGTCTGAATCAAGGTCTCCTTGGGGTACAGTAAAGTCACAAGTAAGGAAGATCTCCCATCCAGGCAGTCACCCTGGCAGTCAAGCCAGGCTTCATGGTATCACTGTAAGTGGTTATTCTAGATAACCAAGCAGAGGACACTTGTGTTCAGAAGACCAAAAGCTCAGTTTGCTAAAGGAC